CAAGTGGGGTTTCAAGTAGTCCTCTGTATGTCGAGACGTATGTACGTATGCATGTATTTATGTACGTATGCATGTATGTATGTATGTATGTATGTATGTATGTATGTATGTATATATGTATGTATACATGTATGTATGTCAAAACATAGACATTGACATGGAATACGTCAAGCTTTAAAATCAGACAAGCGCAACAAAGCAAACCCAATTAAAACCAGCTGTATGAATATTTGTACATATATACACAGGAACACATTGACTTACAAACGCCAGCAGAGCAAGGTTCCACAAGGAGCTAGAGCTAAAGAGAAATCAAGTCATGCCGGATCGTCTTACTATAATTTCCCAACTTTCCAAGGTTCCCGCCACGCAACGACAAGGGTGCCGCCTTCATTTCTGGCTTGGCTCTGGATACGCTCAACGAACAAATCTATGTCCGCATCCCAGACTCGAACTAAACGGGACCGCAAGAGTGTTGTGGGCATGGTTCGATTGTCTGTTCATTGCACTTCTGTGTGACCTCAGGTTTGGCCGTTGCAGTCATCTAAGCTGAAGTTCACAGTCCCAGCAAAGCCGTCTGAATTTCAAAAAAGCTTCATCCTGCAAGGTGGCAAACTACTACGGGAACTCAGCCAAGCAGTCCCTGGCGATGCTCCCTCTTCCCGAGAACAAGTTTTATCCAGGCTGCAGGGCTGTTCACCTGGTGGGGCCTTGTAGTGATTGTAGTGTGCGACTCAGCCTGGTGAGTTTTAAAGGACTTCCACTTGTAGTGATGCTGTTGATGGCGAGGTAACACTACTGCTGCTGCTGCTGCTACTACTCGTGCTGCTGCTGCTGCTGCTACTACGACTACCACGAGAAGTACGACCAATACGACTACTACTATTGACTCTGCAACTGCAGAAAATGAGAGCGGAAGTAGGAATGATGAAACGAGTGAGAAAGATGCTGCAGGTGAGAACAAAGTCGTCCACGCAAAGTACTGGCCCATGGACTTGGTCGCCGAAGGTGATGCTCCTATTGCCTGCCTGTCGCTGGGCTGCTGGAAGTGCCTGCAAGACTAAGCCTCGAATCCCAAACTCGGGCCTGCGCTGTTAATGTGACTTCAATTGTGACTGGGTACGGTTGGCAGCATTTGAGACTGATCGTTGGCACGATTGCTATGGGTACTCCTCAGCACAGGTACGGACATCAGTCGATCGAGCACTCCAGTGGGTATGGCAACCGCAAGTGAAGCTCAGACTGCACCCTTGCAAAGTCTGCAGTTCATGGGAACTCGACTTTGAAGAGTAGCAATTGCAGCTTGTCGGGGGTTGTAGCGCAGCGGCGCAAAAATCGCCGAGGCGAATACCAGGGTGAACGTCTTCAGTGGACACTTCGACACACCGGCATGGACGTTATCCTTCCAAACCCGGAGGGCATCACGAGGCGCCACTTTGAAACCACAACTCTCCGAACAACTGCTAAACTGTCAGCACTGAAACATGGAAGCGCGTAGTCCCAAACTTCGTTTCTCAAGACTAAAGGGTTTTGGCTTCATAGTCAGCCCTGAAACCGAGAAACGTAACTTTCATCGGCCAGTGAGACAGCTGTGTCATTTTTCGTCTGTTGGCCTCCCGACAACAACCGCAACAACAACAACAGCAACACCAAGAGCAGCTGCAACAACAACAAAAACAACAACAGCAACTACAACAACAGCAACCCCAACATTAAACATCACCAGCAGCAGCAGTAGCAGCAGCAGCAACAACAACAAGAACAGTGATAATTCCGTCCGTCGTTCTGGTCGTAAGTGCCTTGAGTATCACACAGTATTTCATCTTGCGAGAAGAAGGTCGTGCTTACCGCAGGTTCTACGTCACGGACACCTCCAACAACCTGGCGGTGCTGCCTCCGAAGCCGGCCCTGCTTGGGCGCTCTGCACCCTTCAACTGGACGCAGTTCTTCTACATGCTGCCCCATGCGAAGATCGGTACAAGCAAGATGAATGGCTGGACCATCCTCAGCATGCCAGTGACCGCCACCGACCTAGGCTACCAGCCCAGCTTTGACCTTTGTGCCGAACTCTGCTCCACGTTCTGGCGCAATGGCACCCAGCGCTGTGTGGCGTTTGACTGGCGGATGTCCAATCACGACTGTGAGTTCTTGAAGGACTTTACGTTGAGTGGCTCAGGCTTGTCCAGTGGTTGCATCAAATTGGCTACTTCAGTTCCGCAAACCATTGACCCTGAACACACTAGAAGCTAAATCCAGGAATGTACCTGACTGCTGGGAATTGCTGGCGGCACCTTACAACCCTTCCTTCGCATGCGCTGGGTCATGAACTTTTCTGAAAGGGCTGCTTCAGGTATTTCAGTAGATGAAGCCGTGCAAATCAAGGGCCAATGTATGGAGGCTTCTAGAAAGCGGTCAGGGGTGGTCAGCGCATGAGCATGCCTCGCCGCTGTGCCTGAACTGGGTAAAAGAACGGATTTCTGCAAGAGTCACGATACGATACGTGCAAGAGCAGCGGGAACCCAAGATGCCTCCCCAGCAAAGAGGGAGAGAGCCATTGCTAAAAGCGCGGTTTTCTTGATGCAGTCCTTGGCTGTGGCAATGAATTCCCCCCCCTAATCGAAGTCTAAACAAATCACGGCAATTCAGAGTAGCCGACATACCAAAGCGCAGGAACAGATCCCGGAGGTTAGAACCTGAGATTGCCAGAGAGTCTGTGGATGCGGAGAGCCTGTAGGCACTAACATTACTGACTAGCATTATTGTTTAGGGATGTTCAATATCGCAAAAATATACCCCAAAAGCCCTATCCCAATTGTTCAGACTCCTCTATTGGTGACTTGAGTAGCCGGGCTACTCTTTGAACCTGAAATCAAGCAGTTTGGTCTGAAACCCCAAGCTAAACTGCAAAACCCCAAAGTCCTAAAACCTTACATACAGATTCCTGTAGTAACCGCCGACATCTCCCAACAGGACCAAGGCAGACTTCCGAATCATACGAGGAGTTGCGCCTACTCCAATAGCGGCCACTCGATGGCCTCGAGCTGCATTGGGTTTAGGTTTAGGTTGTAGGAACTTTTTGGGGGGTTGGGGCTAACGTTTGGGGGTTTAGGATCTGGGGTGTGGGGTTTGGCTAGCTTTTGATGCAGGGGAGCTGTGTGGGGTTTCCGCGTCAAGATTAGGGTCATACTGGTACGAGACGGACCAACGAACAGAGTACAACACCCATCAGCTTACGACAGTATGTAGTATGAGGCGAGTTAAGCCAATACACTGCGTGAAGTGTAATGCAGTCACGCTCCTGCAATACACTGCAACCACTCGGAATGGGTTGCGTGTCACGGAAACACACTGCAGACTTTCGTTGCAATTTGGAGATAGCGCAGGGCTTAGAAAGCTCCTGAGGCCTGTCTTGCTTGTTCGCCTTGGTGCCACTGACGGATTCCGCGGATAGCTTCTCTATGTGGCCCAATCCTTGCTTCACCATGCCAACGGCAGACAGTGACGGCAACGCGTGGATCATCGCCGAATCCGGCTACGCCCCGGCTGGAGGCTGGCCCAGCTATGTGCAGCTCGTCGGCAGCTGCATTGTCCCGAGTGCTAGGCCGCTAGGCTCTTCCCATTTCCCGTGGTCCCGTGCACCCAAGGCGAGAGGGATACAGCTTCGACAGGGAACGCACGTTGACCTTCTTCTTGCGACCGGAGTTGCTTGAAGAAACTGCGGAGGCCCAGGCCATGCGCGACATGTGGCGGCAAGCAGTGCCAAATGCACGCCTCCTGTCTTATGCGTCAAGGGCAATCTGAGTCTGATCTTGAGCAAGTCTGATTAATCCCAGTCCAAGTCGTACCCAGGCTGGTATGGCACCTCGCTGGCAAAAGAGTACACGGTCGGTGACTACGCCAGGAACGGAAATGCCATCTTTCCGGGTGACCTGCAAGCCGAGATCTTCAAGAACAGGGTTCAGGGTGTGGATCCCGATGACACGAATCCCCCTGCCATGCCAACGACTGCAGCATCCTGCTTTGCAAGCGACGTTGTCGCGACAACTACGGCCGCAACAGGTGGGGCGTAGTCAAGCTGGGATTTCCCAGTAGGGTGCTTGAATCTGTTTCGGCTAGCGCAGTTTGCAAGAAGCTTCAGGTGGAGAGACCGGGGGCACCAACGACCCGGGCGGCGACGGCGTGTCGTCGACTTCCACCACCGGCTCCTCCGATGATGGGACGAGTAGCCCAGTGCTCGGAGGGACGGCCGACAAGACCATTGGCCTGGGATCTCCGATCCTACTCCTCTCGGTCATCTTCATGAACGCCTGAGTGCAAGTTTATTAGCCCATGAGTGGCTCACAGGCCACTGAGGGGCGGGTGTCTTAGAGCTTGGAGACAGCTTCCAATGCCTCCAAGACGCCAGAAGCTATTTTGAATCCGTCCCTGGCATCAAGACCGGACTTTGGGGGAAGCGGCGGGGAGTGCAGAAACCGTAGGACGTGGGTACAACTCAATTAGCTGCTTCCCCCTGGCGGAGAGGTGTGCGTGTGTCTAGAAATGTGAGCTTCCCGATTGGGAACCTTGTAAGACTTTGAATGCGACTCTGCACCACGATGCCGTTGCCTCAAAGGCGTCACTGACAGTTGATCCGAAGACGAGAGCACTCTCAGCTTTGATTTGCAGACCTCGTCTGGACGGATGTCCGGAAAGGCAACAGCAGTCGAATTCGCAAGTGGGCCTTGGCACATAGAAAGCGTTTTGCGCCCGACACGGATCTTGCAAAAAGTGCAGTCTGAATGCCTTGATGCAGACGTCTCTGAGCATTTAACCATATTTCTGTCCACCTCGACGTCCACAGGACTGTTTCGAATCAGTTTGCTGGCCGTGTGCATCGTGGTGTTTCGATCAATGCAACACAAGCAAACCCATCAATGTAGCAACATCCTCACTATAACATCGACTACAGCACTGCAAACACTGCAAGCACAGACAAATTGCAACAGCGCGGAAACTACCAGCAATAATTCGCGCTGAGCAGTGTCAGTATCAGTGACACTTGCTTCTACAGCGAGAACAGCATCACCATCAGTGATGTAAGGCATGTTACTAGTCACTAGTCATGATGGTGAAATACTTACAATATGCAGAGAGCACTTGCATCCGCAATGGCATAGACGCACAGAGAAGACCATGCATGATGGCGGCAGTTCAACCAGCAACCATGCTCGTCATATGGTCGTCGTCTTCGTCGTCGTCCTTGCCATCAGTTGTCGTAAGGGGCGTGGTATCAAGACTAACTTCTCGACATCGCTGGTAGCAGGAACCTTCCTAAGCTGAAGCTCCAGTCCCCCAAGCCCCAAACCCTAATAGACCCCAGTCCCATAAACCCTGAAAGCACAATAGGGCCTCTTAACCAGGTCCATCTCGCCGGCAATCTGAAGATTTTCGGCCCCAGCCCAAAGGCAAGTTGAGGGTTTCAAAATCCAAGCGCCAAGATCTAAGTTCTCCCAAGACACCTTGGACCCTCAACCCTAGTTGGAGACCGGCTCTTCGGGGCATTTTGGGGTTTGAGCTTCGGGGTTGGGGGTTTCATCGAATTCTCGGGGCAGGCCTAGGTTTTGCGACCGGGCAGAGGGGCTTCGTGTTTTGAGGCTTAGGCTTTGGGATTTGGGCTTGCCTGGCTTGGTGGCTTAGGCTTGATGAGTTTTTCATGTTTGTGGTTTGGGAATTTGAGCACGTGGTTTGGCTGGGATTGGTTTTGGTGCGTTCATGATACAGCACTGTGCCATCTAGGAATCTAGGGCCTCCAAGCTTTGCTTCCGTATGCAGTCCCCGAGGCACTAGCAGCGCATTTCATGCATGACGGAAACGGCAGACTACACAAGCGATGTTTCTTCATCTGCAGTGAAACCTGATCTGCCAAGAAGACCTCCAGTACTTTAAAGCACACTCGGGTAACAAACCTGGGCCTTGCAGGTGCAGTCGGCAGAGCCGTCGGTGCCCGACACCGACCCCGTGATTCGCCTGACAGGCGACTGGGTTCCGGATTTCGTGTGCAAAAGCCCGGAGTCGAGTGATTCTAACATTTGGGGCATTCGGCGTCTGTCGGTTCTTCCCGAATAGCTTCAGGGCTTTTGAGTGGTGGTGGCTTCTTGTGGTTTCGGGGCACTGACCCGGTAACTTTTGAGCACCGGCTAGGGATTTATCTACCTTTTCGGCTTGCGGGCTTTGAAACGATAAAAGGAAACCTCCAAAAGCTTCCGCCCCCTGAGCCTTTCCTGCTGGAGGATATGGCTTTCGCGGTGGTTTGCTGGTCGCTGTGGTGTCAAAGCCGTGGTTGAACATCGAGGACGAGCTGACCAGAGAGTGCAGGCTGTGGACTGCGATGATATGAGTCTGGCGGCGTAGACCCTTGCTAGTATCTTCTTCTTTTTGTTGTTCCTGCTCGTTCTCGTGGTTGTGGCTGCGGCCGTTGCAGTTGCTGCGGCTGTTCTTTCTTGCTATGTCTGAATGACTAGTGTTTTCAGCCTGCATTCGGACAGTTGTTGCTGTTGCTACTGGTTACAAGCGACTTGTATGCGTACCGTCGCTGGCATTGCCATAGAGACGTAGTGTTTGTAATTCATGTTTTTTGAAGGTGGTGGAGCTTGCATGACAGGGTCTTCGAGTGTGCACTTTATACTTCGGCCTTATCGTCTTGAATGTGCAGTCTTCGGTCTTTCGCCGCTGCCCGGAACCGGAAAACTGAAATCCAGAATCCAGCGTGAACCTTCGTGATTAGTTATAGGTAGGCTAAGACGTGCTATCACAGGCCATATACATATGGCTACCTTACTTGCCTCCCTGCTTGAAACTACCCATCAGCCTTTGAGTAAACACCGGCAGCGGCCAGGCTTTGCAGCGCTGAGTCGCAGTCTGCCTTGTCATCGCCACGGTGTTTCTTTGCCTTCCTTTCGCCTGTCGGATCATTGCTTCAACCCGAAACCTGGTCACCTGAGGTTCATGGGTAGTTATAAGTAGGGTTATAAGTCCCCTAATATGGGTTATGATTATAGCTACCCTACTTAACCCCACTTATAACTACCCATGAACCTCCAAGTACATCTCTGTGCTGATGCGGGCCGAGGCTGTGCCCATACACGCGGGCTGGAATGCCTGCAGAGGCCCACGTCAATGCCTCTTGCTCAGGCTCACATTCTGTGCAATGTCTTCGCGAAACGAAACGAGCTTCCCGCTGCCTTGAGGTGATGCTCTTCCTGGCCGGATACATAGAGTGTGCTGCAAGCTTGAAGTAATGCGGGCGTCTGGACAGGGGCACATCGTGTGAGAGATACGCAGAGGAACAGTAGCAACAGCAGGCATTGGTAGTATTGCCAACAATAGTAACATCAGCATGCAAAAGCCCAAATCCCAACACGAACCACCACCCGTCCTCATGGCTGTGGCGATGAGAGCCGGACCAGCCGAAGCTGACGCACACCGCAGGTCGACGCACGAATGGACCCACAGCTCGGTTGCCAGGACGGCTGGTGATCCTTGTTTCAGGGACTTCAGGGCGACATATATATATATATATATTATATATATATATATATTATATTATATTATATATATACATATGTTTTGGCATCTGCAGTCAGCTGAGTCTGTGGGTGTACAGCATGTAAACAGAAATTGTTTGTGGTTGCAGGAAAACAACTGACAATGGCGCTGAAAGGCTCACGAAAATCCTCCCTACACGTAAACAAATCTCGTGATCTCCGAACTCCCAGCAGCTCTTCCTATCCTTGTTCGTAACTCAGGGTCTTGACTCGAGGAGCACCCCTCTTTCCTCCACCCTTTGGCGACACTTACGTGTTGTGGTAAGCATGCCAAGCCACCTGACCATCTCATGTTCCACTGACTCCTCCACAGACACCATGCACCACGATCGCAGTGCGGTGAAGCGATTGGCAAGCTGTTTGGAGAAGTGGCATAGCAGAATTGGGTGGGAAACAGACGTCAGCAAGACGTCCTTCCTTCAGGCTTTGCCCCGATGGGTGGCAGCGTGGAGGCTCCACAACCTATAGTATCTATATACATGCTTTGACATGACAGCATCGTGAACAATATGCAGCCGTGGTGAACAAAATCCTCGAGCGCCAAGAACCGCTGGACTATGCTGGACTGCTCGGTGCTGGGTGATGGTGTACCACACCATGTTTTTGTAACATGCGCAGCAGGGACCAGAGACACCTCGGCAGCCTTTGATCAAGACTCCGCCATGCGGAGCCATAATGCCTTGCGGAGCTTGCGCAGTTTGCATCTCAAACGTGCCAGGGCACAGACAACGTGGGGGCCCGTCCCCTTGTGCTGGAAGACCTATCCTCTCTGTCTCGCTTCTGTTCGAACATCCCCTGCCTTGATTGGGCCTTTATCCTAGTTTCTGCTCTCCGGGACCTACCACCGCTTGAGTCTGGCTGCACACGTGGCGCTCAGGGTTAAGGTAGTTTAGGTCCAAGGTTTTCAATGATTGAATAGGTCTGGCGACGATCTCGTGTAAGGTATGGTCGGGTTGCATCTCCTTCAGTGCTGCAAGTGACTTCTCGGTGCCGCCAGGACGGGGCGCAGGTGGGCGTCCAGAACTTGACCATCTTCCGGCAGACTGTCAGTCGCCCAACTCGTCCGACCATATACATATCTGCACGTATGTACCTCGGGAGGTGCGTACGCACTTTCATCCTGTGTAAGTATGTGTACGTATGCAAGCACAGATGTACGTATGTATGTAGGTACGTAGGTATGTATACAGGTATGTATGTATGTAGGTATGTTTGATGATCTGGGTACCCAGGTATGTAGATATGAGCATTGATCTAAAGGTCCTTGTGTGGGATTTATATAAAACGGTTTTAACATGTGAAATAGAGTGTCCGCGAAAGATCCGCGAAAGGAAAACAATAATCCGCGAAAGT